CCGAATTAATTGGCCATACTTATGACAAAAATATTTTAATGCATAGTGGGACCCTGAAAAAATTTTTTCCCACAATTAAACTGGGCACCAGTCCTGTATTTTTATTGGACTAAATTTCCCTAAACAATTTCCTAGTTGATTTCCCCCCCTTGAACCCCACCGTTTTTGTTGGAACCTGGCAAAAAACGGAGGGTGGGGGAAATCAGTTTACCTTCCTTTTGGATTTACTAACTATAAATACAAATCTAAGGGACCTGTTGCTCTCTCGTGAACCCCTCCGTTACCTTCCCCAATCAGCCACCACTCGGTAAGGGACCCAAGGGTAAAAAACCCCTTTTCTGGACAATGGCCCCCCTGAGCAACCCCCAAATTAAAACCTCCAGGGGGTACCCCCTTTCCATTCAAAGTTTCTAGCCGTTTTGCAAAGAAATTTCAAACCAACCCGGCCTCTGGGCGGAAAACTGCGGTTGAATATTGGTTCACCCGCCTCCCCCCAAAAAAGCAAAGCCAGGAAAAAGAAGGTGTTTGAAAGCGACATTCCCAGCCCAACTGGGCAGAAGAGAAGAGAGGGACCAACCGCCCCCCTAAAGGGCCCCCCAGGGGGAAAGATGGCCCCGGCGTCTCTGGCGCAAAGGCGCACAAACTCGCGGGCCCCGCCCCTTTGCGCGCCCCGCCCCTTTCCGGCCGGCCCCCGGGTCCAACCCAACGGCGGAGTCGCCCCGCACGCAGGAAGACCCCGGGCCGGGGCCCGTCACGTGAACCGGGCCCGTCACGTGACCAGCGCGGGCTGGCGCCCGCAAGCGGATGAGCCGGAAGGAGGACGCCGCTTTGGCGGTGGCAGAGTGCCGCGGAGCTGGCCCGCAGGTGAGGACGGAGCGCGGTCGCGCGGCCAGGGGCCGGGGGCTGAGCGAGGCAGGCGGGCGGGCTGCGACCCAGACGCCGCGCGGGCGCCCCACGGAGGCGAGGGGGAAGGTGCGTGATGCGGGCGGCCTCCCCCGGGGACTTTTGGGGACGCTCGGCTCGGGACGCCGCCTTGGAATTGGGGTTCCAGCGGCTTTGCCCGCACCCCTGGGGGCGGCCCACCCCGCCCCCGCGCGCGCGGCCGGGACCCCGCGACCCCGCGACCCGGGCTGGGGTGTGGGGTCCCCGCGCAGTCCTTGGAAGCCGACGGCGTGGAGTGGATGGTTTGCGGCGTCCTTGGCAACGGTTCATTCATCCATCAAACACACAGGTTCCGAGCGGCCCCCGGCTCACCTCGGGGCCCGGCTCACCTAGGGGCCCGGCTCACCTGCCGCACGCCCGGATCGGAGCCGCCCTGCCCCCTGGAGGGAGACAGAAAGGGAAAAAAATAAAATAAACTTGGTTAGCGTTTGGAAGGCAGCAGATCACTGGCGACTGTGGTTAGGATGATCTCAGAAGGTGACAGACTATCCACTGCTGACTCCTGGAGTCTGTGAGGGAACCCCGGCTAGGCTAGGGAGGGTCTGGGAAAAGTAGCCTCCTCCATTCGTCCAGCCAGTTTTTTTTTTCCCCTAACGCTGAGCGCGCCCTGATGGGAGCAGGCGGAATGGTGCCTGAGACACAGCTGGGGCGTCTTTTGGAAGTCGCAGTTTTCCATTTTCCCTCTCTTCCATTTACAGTGGGGAAAGAGTGGGGGAGACAGAGCGGGATTAACTACTGCCAGGATCAAGAAAGAAAGCACCTCAACTCTCTTCTTTAATTTTACAAGGGAGGAAACTGAAACGTCAGCTGGGAGTTTTGAGTACCCCTTGCCCGAGGTTGTCCAGGCAGTAAGTGGCAAAGCAGGAACAGGTGCGCGCACATCTGTTGACAGAGCATCTTTTAGTTGGCATTCCGCTGTGCTGTCTTTATTCTACTCACTTCTTTGATAAGGCCTATACTATACACTACCATATATGTTGATGACTTCTTTATTTTATTTTATTTTATTTTATTTTATTTTATTTTATTTTATTTTATTTTATTTTATTTTATTTTATTTTTTGAGACAGAGTCTCACTCTGTTGTCCAGGCTAGAGTGCCGTGGCGTCAGCCTAGCTCACAGCAACGTCAAACTCCTGGGCTCAAGCAATCCTCCTGCCTCAGCCTCCCAAGTAGCTGGGACCACAGACATGGGCCACCATGTCTGGCTCATTTTTTCTACATATTTTTAGTTGTCCAGTTAATTTCTGTTTTTAGTAGAGATGGGGTCTGGCTCTTGCTCAGGCTGGTTTCGAACTCCTGACCTTGAGCGATCCTCCCGCCTCGGCCTCCCAGAGTGCTAGGATTACAGGTGTGAGCCACCTTGTCCGGCCAATGTTGATGACTTCTAAATCTCTGTGTCCAGCCAAAAATCTCTTCCCTGAGTATAGGGCTTCTGTCATGGTACCTCGAATTTAATGTCCTTGGCTGAGCTCCTCTTCCTCCCAAACAGTGGACCTTCTCCTTCCATACCTGCATTTTCTGTTTGTGGCATCAGCTTTTACCCACTCAACCTGAAATCCTGGATTTCATCCTTGGCCTCTCCTTTTCACATCTCTTTTGCCTCTTTACTGCAGCCATGCTGAGTGTCCTCAGCAATTTAGGCCCCCATAATCTTTTGCTCATCAACCAAAAATGGGGTGTGTGGGGGCAGGGTGGATATGGAGGGGTGGGCCTTTTGGTCTTACCCCTCTCCTTTTCTCTCCTTACATCTCCTAGCCTGTTGGCAAATTTATGGAAAAAATAATGCAAATATATGAGGAGGTTGCTTTCCTGTTGAGCACAGGTTAAAGTCTAGGCTCTTTTGCCTTGTATACAAGGCCCTTTTTGATTAGGCTCCTTCCTACCCACCTCTCCAGCCTTGTCCCCAAACTCCTCCCTCACCTCCCAAATGGCTTGCTCTGCCCCTGGTCAAGCAGTGTGATTTTACGCTTTTCAGTCTATGTATATACGGTTGCTTGTGATTAGAAATGCCCTTCTCTCCTGTTGGCCTGGCCAACTACTTGTCCTTTTATTATTAATAACACTTAGCCTTTTCCTCGCTTCCTCTCTGTGCTCCTTTGCATATTGTATAAACTTTTAGTGTAGCCCCTATCTTTCTAAGTTGCATTTATTTATTTATATGTCTGCTTTTTTCTAATAGATTAAAACTCTGTTATGGTAGCGGCTTATTTTATTTATTCTTAGTTTCCTCATTTGTAAAATGGGAATAGCAGCATGTCACAGGGTTGTGGTGAGAACCCGTTCAGAGCTTGGTTCCTTGTTAGGATTCCATAAATGGTAACTGTTATAGTTGTTTTTTCTTTGTATTTCCATTTTCTTATTTAATAACTGGAATGAAGTGTTCATTACATACTTGTGAATGAATAGAAAACATAATAAAAAAATATAGCACTTGTATTTTTTTTACTTTGAATTCTGGGTTTTGCTTTAGCATGGGGGCAATATGAGACAAGATGGAATATATGTAGAGAATTTTGAATGATTTTTAAATTAAGTACATTGGTTGGTTTATGGTAAATAAAGATTTATGGTAAATAAAAATTTGCTTAGTACATCAGGCACCATTGGGAAATGGAAATCACTAGTTGCTCATCTCTGTTCTGGTATGTGTGGTGTTACAGGGAAGGAATTATTACTTAAAATGGAGTGGAATATGATCCAGGAGAGTAATTGCTGGTTAAATGTTATTTCCAAGTTATTTGGGTTCAAATACTCCTCTTATAAGATACAGATATCACCTGAGAGTGAGCACCATGTTAAATGTTTGCCTAGAACAGTACTGGCATAGTAGTTACTCAATACATGTTGAAGACATGGATTGTAGGAGGAATAGTAGTGGTGATAATAAAATGATAACAGTGGCTAGCAATGTTTAAGTACTTTGTACATTCTAGGACTGTGCCAAGCGATTTGCATATATTCTTATTTAATCCTTACAGCAACATTATGAAAATAGGTGATATACTCATTTTACACTTGAGGAAACAGAGACACAGAATATTTGAATAAAACTAGAAAATAGTGGAACTAGGATTCAAAGTAGCTAGTTTTGTTCCAAAATCCACAGTCTTAATCACTATGTTCGGTTATCTATGTGTTAGGATTTTCATTGCTGATACTAAGAGTAGAGGGAAGGGAATGTAAAAAAAGAAAAGGTACTGAGGCTTTCTCAGAATACAGCAAAAGAAGTAAGTATGAATATGGTGAAAATGAGGCAAAGCAAAGGCTTTGTGGATCTGCAGTAAAAGACTTTGATGTAAAAGTCGTACCCTTTGTTTGGTCATTGCTACAAATACGATGTCTAAGGATCCTAAGGTGAAATTTTTATACTTACCATCTTCCTTTCAGGAATATTGCAAAAGCAGTAGTTTTTTTTTTTTTCTCCTCAGTATATAGTTTCTATAACTTATAAAATTATTTAGCTTCTGAAGGTGGACTTAAATAGAAAGTCTGGGATTTTTGTGGACCTTGATTTTTAATTAATAAGAATAATTTTAAAAGTAGCTACATTTTAACCTCAGCTTCTCTTGCAGATAACATGAATTTCTCCCGACAACATTTGTTTGCTACAAGGAAGAGAAATGTGTTTTATTTTACTTATAAGTAAATTTATTTCCTTTTTTCTCTCCAGCTTCTTCACAAAATAATTGATGGCATTTGTGGCCGAGCTTATCCTCTCTACCAGGATTATAACAGTATTTGGGAATCAAAAGAATGGAAGAGTGTTCTAGAAGATGTTACGAAATTTTTCAAAGCGGTAGTTGGTAAAAATTTATCTGATGAAGAGGTAACTTTACATTTCAATACTTTATACTAAATAACAAATAATGCTCAGTTTTTTTTTGAGTTAATCTTTAGAGCACTGTATAATATAAGGACCATCATCAGGAAGTAATACATATTATATAACAAAAATCTCATAATTTTAAGTGGAAAATCTGATCATGGAAGTTCTGTGTTTTTGCAGTTTTGTTTTTACTATTTGAATTGCGAAACATTTAAAGCATACAAAAGGAAACAGGAAGTTATATAACGGACACCTACATTCCCATTACCACCATCAGTTGTTAACAGTTTACTTTATGTGTTTCAGGTTTGTGTTTGTTTGTTTTTAGAAATAAAGCATTACACAGATAACCTAAATTCCCTCATGCCCCACTAGATATGATACCCTCACCCAGAGAACACCACTCCTGAAGGTGGCATTCGTGTTTTGTATTCTATATAGTGTGTATGTTTAAATCTTTAAGCAATATATAGAAGTATTTGGGGGTGGTTAAGTGTGTAACTTGTAAATGATAACATGAATGCATTTTAAAATTAGATTAGTCAATGTTGATTAATTTAGATTAATCAATGTTGATAAATGTGGATGTAGTTCATGTATTTTAACCCCTTGTATAGTATCTGATGATAGGAATTAAGTAAGATTTATTTATCCCCCTACTAACAGTTATGTAATTGCTTCTTTTATTACAAGTAATGCTGCTGCAACATTTTTATGTGTGTCTCCTGCGTACTGAGGGTAGACATCTTCAAGTAAAATCTCAGGGTCATGTGATATCCTTCTTCCCCTGAATTTCTTTTCCATCTTTGTTAGAAATCATTTGAGCACACTTGTGTAGGTTGCTCACTTTTTAAAAAAATGGAGTTATGTGTTTGTCATTGATTTTTATGATATTTTGGATATGAGTTCGTTGTTAGATGTATTTTAAGTATCTTCTATTATGTGGCTTGCCTTTTTATTCTCTTAGTGGTGTCTTTTGGTGAATAGAAGTTCTGAATTTTAATCAAGCTCAGTTTGTCAATACTTTTTTTGATGGCTAGAGCTATTAATTTACTATTTAAGAAATATTTGTGCCAAAGACATGAAGGTATTTTTGTATGTTTTTGTATGGAAGCTTGGTTGCTTTAGCTCTCACCTTTATGTTACGGATGCATTTTGAATTAGTATTTGTGTATGGAGTGGGGGTCAAATTCAGATTTTTCCACTTCACTATCCAATTGACCCAGTACCATTTATTGAAATGATCGTCCTTTCCCCACAAGATTGCTGCGCAGCCTTTGTTGTAAGTCAGACGGCCGTATGCGTGTGGTTTGTGTCTGGACTCTTTATTGTATTCTGTTAGTCTGCTTTTCTATATTTGCCAACACTATGCTCTTAATTACTGTAGAATTAAAGGTACATTAAATAAAATCATAATATCTGGTAGTAGAACACTGTCAGCCTCATGCTTCAGGATTGCCTTGGCTGTTTAAGGTCCTCTGTGTTTTTGTGTACATTTTAGAATCAGCTTGTCAATTTTAACCACAGAACCTGGGGGGATTTTGATAGAGATTAGACTGCTCTCTAGATCATTTGGGGGGAGAATTTAATTCTTTTTTTTTTTTTTTTTTTGAGACAGGGTCTCACTTTGTTGCCCAGGCTAGAGTGAGTGCCGTGGCGTCAGCCTAGCTCACAGCAACCTCAGACTCCTGGCTCAAGCGATCCTCCTGCCTCAGCCTCCCAAGTAGCTGGGACTACAGGCATGCGCCACCATGCCCGGCTAATTTTTTCTATATATATTAGTTGGCCAATTAGTTTCTTTCTATTTATAGTAGAGACGGGGTCTCGCTCTTGCTCAGGCTGGTTTTGAACTCCCGACCTCGAGCAATCCGCCCGCCTCGGCCTCCCAGAGAGCTAGGATTACAGGCGTGAGCCACCGCGCCCGGCCGAGAATTTAATTCTTTTTTTTTTTTTTTTTTTTTTTTTTTTTGAGACAGAGTCTCACTTTGTTGCCCAGGCTAGAGTGAGTGCTGTGGCGTCAGCCTAGCTCACAGCAACCTCAAACTCCTGGCTCAAGCAATCCTCCTGCCTCAGCCTCCTGAGTAGCTGGGACTACAGGCATTCGCCACCATGCCCGGCTAATTTTTTGTATATATATTAGTTGGCCAATTAATTTCTTTCTATTTTATAGTAGAGACAGGGTCTCGCTCTTCAGGCTGGTTTCGAACTCCTGACCTTGAGCAATCCGCCCGCCTCAGCCTCCCAGAGAGCTAGGATTACAGGCGTGAGCCACCGCGCCCGGCGAGAATTTAATTCTTAACAATATTTAGCTTTCAAATTCATGAACATGGGTAGCTTTCTGTTTATTTAGGTTAGCTTCAATTTCCCTCTCTAATATTTTGTAGTTTTCACTGTAGAGATCTTACACATATTCTGGTAGATTTGTTTCTAAGTAAATGATGTTTTTTATGTTCTTTAATTTTTTTTCAGTTGTTTTTTAATGAGTATGTACAAATACAGTTGATCTTTATATACTTAGCCTGTATCTAACAACCTTTCTAAATTTATTTACTATATCTAATTGTAGATTTTTTGGGGTGAGCAAGGTTGTATGCAATCAGTTTCTTTTTTAATTTTAACACTTTTTATTTCTTTATTACCTTATTGCACTGGCTAACATCTTCAAACGGTATTTTTTTTAAGAAAACAAAAAGCAGTAGAAGACATATGTCTATTCCTAATGTTAGGGAGAAAGTGTTAATTAACTATTTTACCATTTAGTATGTTAACTCCATGATTTTGTAGATACCCATTATCAGATTAAAGAAGTTTCCTACAATTCCTACTTTGCTGAGAATTTTTACTATGGATAGGTATTGAATTTTATCAAATGCTTTTCCCCCGAATTTATTATTTTTTCTCCTTTATTTTGTTAATGTGATTTTTTAATGTCATACTAAGCTTACATTGCCAGAATAAACCCCCTTGGTCATGTGGCATTATCTTTGATGTATCTCTTGATTTGAATTACCAATATTTTGTTCTGGGTTTTTGCATCTGTATTTGCATGATACTGGCCTGTGTGTTTTTTCCCCACTCTAGAAATACTCTTGTCAAGGTGTTAAATAAGTTTTGTCCTGGCCCATGGAACGAATTGGGAAATGTGTTTTCCTTTTTCTGTTTTCTGGAAGAGTTTATATGAGATTGATTTTTATTTATTTCTTTATTTAAAATTATGTTACTTAATTCTCAAATATTTGGAAATTTGTTGGTTATCTTTTCTTATCAGTTATGACCTTATTACATACACAGTGGTCAAAAAATATAAGCAGTATTATTTCAGTCATTTGAGATCTGTCATGGTTTGCTATGCATACGGTACAATGGCTCAGCATACGGTACATTTTGGTGAACATTCCATGTACATTTGAAAATAATGTGTAGTCTACAGTTCTTGGTGTAGTGTTTTATATGCCGATTAGGCTATTTTCAATTCTTCTGTGTCTTTACTGGTTTCTTTTTTTGTCTGTTTATGCCAGTCACTCAGAGTAACTGTGTTAACATCTCTAATTATAAATGTAGATTTATCAATTTCTCTTTTTAGTACTGCCAGGTTTTGCTGCTCTATATATTTTGAAGCTATGCTATTAAGCGTACACATGCTTATGTTTGTTATTTATTTCTGTTGAATGGCTCTTTTTCCATTTTTCTCTGTTTCTTGTAATATTTATTGCCAAGGACTACACTGTCTGATATAGTGATAAAGGTTGGGTATCCCTTATTTGAAATGCTTAGGACCAGAAGTGTTTCAGATTTTGAATTTTTTCATTTTTTTCAATTCTAATATTTTGGAATATTAGAATTATACTTATCAGAGAAGCATCCCTAATCCAAAAATCTAAAATGCTCCAATAAGCACTTCCTTTGAGCATCCTGTCTGCACTCAAGAAGTTTCTGATTTTAGGATTAGGGACACTCAAACTGTGTTGCTGTGTCACTTTGGTGCTCTCCAGGTATATCCACTTCCATGCTGCTTCATCAGTCAGTCCTTTTTCCTTTTGTTTTGCAGAAATTTGTTAAAGCCTATTTGCTGGTTACTCATTCTCATCCTTTCTGTGCTTACAGAAGTATTTCTCTGTCTTTTTTTCTTTTTCTATCTTTTAGGTGTGTGAGAGTGGACCTATGCTTACATTTTAAACAGAAAGTCCTTTTTATTTTCTGACCAATTTATTTTTGTTTCCATAGATATTTCAGCAGTTGAATCAGTTGAACTCATGCCATCAAGAAGCGATCATGAAATGCTTGAAAAGTAGGAAAGATGAGATCAAGCAGGCTCTGTTAGGAGAAATAGTTGATATTTCCTCTGCACAACTACAGAATTTTGATTGGCAGTTAAAGGTGAGAATCTATTTATGAGTATGTATATTTTGAATTTCACTTTTTGGATATGGAGAAATTTTTTTATTTTTTTGAGGAGGAAGGAAAGTAAGTTTACTTTGCCGACAAAGGAGGAAATATGATAGACCTTCTCATCTCAAAATCCCAAATTTCCTGAACATAGGCAGAAATACAGAGCTTTTAAAGGCAGGGTTCTAGGCTTCAGGCAGTTACTGTGGTTAACTATTCTGATCTTCCCATCTCTGTCAGAGAGGACGCCTGTGGACTCTGCCAGCCGCCCACGTCGGGGACTGGCATTACCTGGGAGTTTTAAAAGAAGACTTAACCTGCCTCAGGGATGCAGGCCCGGCTGAAGTTCCCGAAAGAGTGGGGGGAAATTTTCCAGGCCATTCCCTCTGTTACATACTCCCCAGTCTCAGTCTTTCCCTTCCGTATCTGTGGGAGGGGGGACAGTGTCCAGCGGCCCCTGCTGAAATGGGGGTGACGTTTCAGATGGGAGGTTCATGTTTACGTATGTCATCACAGATCTTTGGCGGTATATTTACAATAACAAATCACTAGGCGAAAAAAGTCATGAGCAACAGCCACAACAATGCGGATTGACAAGGCGAAATGGACTGATGCCTTGTAGACAGTGTCTGCCGCAGGGCTGGGGAGGCAAGCACCCTGCAGGCGACTGAGAGACCAGCTTCTGCAAATGCAGAAACCACATACAGGTGACTGATCAACAGAAGAGGCAGTAGCCTGGGAAATCCTCACTAAGGAGTGGTCTCTCCATCCTGTAGACAGAGCAAATAATCAAAGAAAGGTTAGCAAAAAAGAAAATGTTGACGTTTTTCATTTTTCCCTTTCCTTAAACAGTTACTTTTGATCGCCTAAAGGCTGGCCCTCCTCTGGGGCTTGGCTCACTTCTTCCATGGCACGCCTCTTTCCTCTGGTATGATGGACCCAGAGTTTCATTTCTGACAACGCCAGGGAGGTGTGCGCTATTGGAGGCACTTCCCAGGGTTTCTTCTACTTCTTTGTTTCTGACTGGGGTGGAGGCCTGAAAGAGGCCGACTCACACATAGTGCATAGTGGTTGTCCCTGACCCACTCCTTTGGCATGTCGAGTTACCCTGCCTTTTACTCATGGTTATATTACCATACTTGCCTCGGGGTGCTAGGAAGGGTCTTTCTCTCATAAACTATTTCTCAGGGGCTCAACTTAAACCTGCTTCTGAGGGCTGTGTTTGTTCAGAGCGTGACAGCCAGCAGTAACCTGTTCTGCTTTTCTGACTTCTGGGATTCAAAAGCGTGTCCGTATCTCTCTGTGTGGAGGAGGAGAGCCTACAAACATCCTGACGACCTGTGGGATCTTCGAGTCCACTATGTAGAAGAAGCCCACCAGGTTCCCACTGGGGCTCCACTCTCTTTTATAATAATATTATACGTCTGCAATTTGTTATTTCAAGAATATATCGTCCCAGGGGAAATCAAAGATAGATTAAATTACATCTTCTGCATTGACTTGGGTATAGGTACGATACAAACATCCACATCATGTGCATAGGAACATTACATTGGTAATAAATTTAACTAGACCCGTAAATCCTTAAATGTCACAAGTCGTGGGGCAGTATATCTTCAACATATATTTTTGGCTACAGCTCTCTAGACTTCATAGCTTTCTCGAGATTGGTAAATGTGATTCTGCCTCTAGGAGGGAAATCTGTAATGTGTTATTAAAACAGTTTTGAAACCACCTTGAAGAGAGTCATGATCAGTATGGTTCATAAGGAACAATTTCAGACCAACTTTTTGTCCTTTGTGTGGTACTTACACATCAGTAGATGAAGAGAAAACAAATATATTTTTTTTCCCTTAATTTTAGCATGACCCTGGCTAAACTTCCCTATGTTGTCTTTGTAGATTAAGTGGAGAAAAACATGGGAAAATAATAGTAGCTAAGTTCAAAATTGAATGAATTTGTGTTAGCTAAGAAGAAGGTTCCTGTGGCTCTTGTCTTGGCCATTTTTAACATTTGTCTGAATATTATGCTTATCAAATTTGAGGGTGACACAAAGCTAGAGATATAGTAAATATGTAATATAAATACATAATCAAAATCAAATTATTTCACAGCCAGTTGCAGTAATGGACTAAATAAATTCATCAGGGATAACCTAAGTAGAGGATTTTTCATTTAAATAAAGATTTTATGTTTTCATAAACATAGAAAAGGAAGAGCTGTTAATAGTAGCATATATGAGAAATATTAGTTGTTTTGGTTCACCAAAATATAGCTTGATTGATGTTGATTCAGTCTTACATTTTGTTAGTAGAAATGCAGTTTTTCAAGAGGTAGTTCTAATAGATTCTGTTTTCAACTGTTACATATCTTTTTAGTTTAATAATCCTTTTAGTTCTGGCCACCAAACTTAAGAGATATTTAAACAAATTGGAACCCAACAAGAAAAGAATGACCAGGAACTTAAAATCATGGTATGTGAAATTTCTGTGGGACACTGAGACCATGTACCCGGAAAAAGATAAAACTTAGTAGAAGCATGGTACTTAACCTTTAAAAAACCGAATGCTATATGGATGGGGGAATATACGTAGGTTTTGTGGTTCCAGAGATGAGGAGAAAGGCTTAGGTGTATCATTTGCAAAAGATGGATTCAAATTTAACCTAGGGAAGGACTTTTTAACACCTGCAAGTGTCTGGAAATGATTTTAACCCTTTCTTGAGGTAGCACGCTCCTCCTCATTGGTGGTATTCAAGCATAGGTTGAGAAACCATTTGTTGGGAATGTTGAGGAGAAGAATTATCCCCTGTGTGGACAACCTGAAAGTGATACTTCAAAAGCTCAGAAACTATGGGTCCTGTTTTTAGGTGAGAGAAAGGAGGTAAGGATTTGATTCTGTAGTGTGTTTACCACAATGGAGATATTTTGAGTTTTGTTGTTAGGAAAGGTATCCCTTACCTTTGCATAAGTCATTTTTTGCAAGTGGTAGCACTCCAAAAAAAAAAAAAAAATTGAGTTTCTCTTTGGCATCTGCTGATGAAGCTGTAATGTTTGTTTTAAAAAGTATATCAGTACCAAAAATATTTGGTACTTCCAATTCCCGTAGTATACACTCCAGAGACAAACTAAGAAGCGAGGTAAATGTGTTTTTTTTGTTGAGTGGCTCTAATCGAAGATTGTATCTTGATACCATATTTATCAATAGTTCGGTAGATAGCTGATCATGAATTAAGCATCTTAATTTTTGAGAGTTTACCCATATTTTTAGTCTCATTTATCGTTGTGCATGACGTTTCATCTTGGTGTCTTTAATCTTCTTTAATAAACCTCCGTGTTTCCTGCTGCATTGGGTCATTCTGGTACTTCCCAGGGATGTCTCTGATCTAGCTATCCACTTCTGCCACAAAACTGGTGGCTCGTCATCTTTTTTTGCTACCCACTTCCTCCCTTTTATCTGCTGTCCTTTCCCTTTTATTCTTTGAATATGTGAAGAATATTTGAAGACTATGTGAAGACTATTAAACATGAGTTTAATTTATTTCTTTTACCTTTCCTATAGGAAAGGTATACTTGCCAGCAAATATGAATACTTTCTTAAAAATGTACTTTTTTTTTTTGAGACAGAGTCTCACTCTGTTGCGGGCTAGAGTGAGTGCCGTGGCATCAGCCTAGCTCACAGCAGCCTCACACTCCTGAGCTCAAGCGATCCTCCTGCCTCAGCCTCCCGAGTAGCTGGGGACTACAGGCATGCCTGGCTAATTTTTTCTATATATTTCAGTTGGCCTATTAGTTTGCTTTGTATTTTTAGTAGAGATGGGGTCTCGCTCTTGCTCAGGCTGGTTTTGAGCTCCTGACCTTGAGTGATCCTCCTGCCTCGGCCTCCCAAGTGTTAGGATTACAGGCGTGAGCCACCGCATCTGGCCAAAAATGTACTGTTACTAAGTTTGGATGTATATTTAATATCGTCGTTTTTACTATTTATTAATTACTGTTTTCCTCATTTTAAACAGCTTGCACTTTCTAGTGACAAGATTGCTGCATTACAAATGCCACTTTTACATCTTCATCTAGATGTAAAAGAAAATGGTGAAGTAAAACCGTATTCTGTTGAAATGAGTAAAGAAGAGCTGCAGAAGCTAATAAATTTCCTTGGAAGCAGCTAATAAGGTATTTGTTTTAGTTTTGTTATATGATTTAAATGTTTAAGTTTTAATTGATACCCTAAAAGCAGTATAAAAAAATCATAGTTCACTTTTAATGTTTCTTTTTTCCCCTCCCCCCTGATACTTTTATGTTAGCACAGAAAATACTTTGGCATGCTCTGATCTCTGGTTTTAGATATTAATTATAACTTGTAATGTTCATTTACTTAGTTTTCAGCATAATGCATCAAGTAGTTATTTTGGAAAGAATAATAGCGCTACTCTAACAGCTGAATTTGTTTTGCTTCAGTGCTCACCAGTGATAAAAATAAAATTTTTACCTTGGGACCATGAAATTAGTTGATTCTGAAGACTTTTTATGATTAAAAAAGGGTCATGATCCTGAAAAAAAGTGGCTTATTTAACTGGACAAACAATAGAAATTTGCTTTTATAATTCTCTAAGTACGGGAGACAAAATACGGCTTATAGTTATTATGGCAAAATCAGGTTGAGACAAAATGGAACCAATGAATGTCCCCAAACTTCACATTTACAACAGAGTGGCTAAATAACAGTAACCACTCCTAGTGTTTAATAAATGAGAAAAATAATATTTAAACAGTAGAAACGTGCTCTGAGGAAGACATGAAAGTAATTGTCTTGATATGTGTGTGTCCTTCACTGCTGCTCAGCATTTTCCCAGTGTTTTCCCTCGTCTCAGTTATTCTTACCAACCTCTCTCGCCGCCAATCAGTCTTCTTCATCCTGCCTTCTTAAAACCCCCATAAACTTCAGTTTCCCGCCATACTCTAAACTTGCTTGAATATTTTAGTGTCTCGATGACTGTTCCACACGTCCAGTGACCAGACTTGGCAGCCCAACCCTGGCTGCACGGCAGGGTGGGGCTAAAGGTGTGAAGGGTGGCCGCGCAGTGGAGCTGGTGTAGACACTCCCAGATCTGAACCCCGGAGCCGGCAGGAATGGGCCGCCAGTCACCGCGCATTGCCTTGCTGGCTACCAGTCCTCCACGCCCTTCTTCAGAGATTGCAGAGCGTGGTAGTGCATATCCACATCAATCTGGCATAACTTGATATTTTCCCCTCATTTTGCGTTTTAAGGTGGTCCTGCAGTTGAAATAACTGGAAATGACGAACACCAGCGCTATCAGATTTTTCACCGCTGCAGTGGATACGGCAGAGAATGCCGTGTGTTCAGAAACCCCGCGACATCTGGACTGCTGCACCGGCCTGGGGAAGCAGCAGTGTTGCAACTACAGAGATACAAATTCATCAGTATCTCTGAAGAACAGGAAATTACATGGCTGACAGGAAATGCATAAAATGAAAGACGAAAAATCTATAGTAGCTGTTTATATTTTCATAAAGATTGTTTTGCCTCATCTGTTAAATATTCGCAAGATCTTTGTAGATACTTTTATTGAAAAGCAAAAAATAGGTTCTAAAGTAATGTAAGCACACAAAGCACAGATATACTTGAATATTGCTTGAATTATGTGAATAGCAAGGACATATGGATATATAATTTGTGATATTTTAACTTTGTAAAAGAATGTATCAGCTGCATATGTAACTCAGGAGATTACATATCTTTCTCATATTTCAAAGGAATGATTATAAAATTAAAATGTCTTAGAGAACAGCTCTTCATCAGACATGAACAAGGAAAAATGCCCCAAATTTGTACGAATAATCTTGAGTTTATGAATTCTAGAAATGGAAATCTAGACTGTGGAAAGATGAAAATAACACGTTACTTTTGCATCTCTGTGTCTGATTGGGAGACTATGCTCTGATAAAAAGAAAATATGTCATTGTATAGTGTATATATTCAGATAGCAAATAAGACTGCTTACAGGTTCATTTTTGTTATAAGCTCTTAATATTGAATTTAACACTTTTGGATATTAACACATTCATTGGAAAACCATTTTTAGCCTCAGTTAACTTTAAAAACAAGCATTCTGGACAAATAAAAACGTCTTATTTTATTTTTATGTATTGCTTTATTTCAAATGACTTTTTACATGACTCACTAATCAATAACACATAATTAATTGGTGCCTACTATTTGTAAGCTTTATGACTCTTCAGAGCACGAGCCTATTCTTTGAGGTGTCCAGAGCAGTTATTACTCTTCTCACCATACAGATGAGGATAGGCTTTTTTTAGACAAAAAGCAACTACAAAAAGGCATTTTGGAGACAATTGCAGCACAAATGTGAATAGGGACTGGGCATTAAATGTCAAATAATTATTATTTTTATTAGCTAAGATAATGGAATGGCATTATGATTAGCTTTTTAAAAATGTGCATAATTTATAGAAATAATGTATACATGAAATGACATAGAAGATATGCTTTAAAATATTTTAGGAGAAAACCCTACAACTGATTAGATGAGGCAAGTGTGACTTGATAGTTGTAGACTTTTGGTATTTGCAGACTCTGGGTGGTGGGTAGGTTCGAAATTTTTCAGAATTAAGAACTAAATGATGCAGTGGATTTAGATGCGAAATAACTTGGACACCAGTGACAGCACAGGTACAGTGACTGCACAGACATACGCTTCTAACTGCCTGGAGCAGAACCCTCTTGCATTTTAGTTGTATGACAAAGACTTTTACTTAGTTCCATCTGGGGCACTTTTATACTCGTTTTGTAGTTATTGTGAATGTTTGGATATGTGGGCTTGCCCTAGTATCATTTATTTACTTGGGCTCCTCATCGAAAGTGTAATTTTCTGAGGCTGTGAAGATTTGATATCTTTACCCTAGTCTTTTCCCATTGCCCTTGCGTGATTACTGTTAAAATACTTGCTGAATTAATAAGCACTTTATTTTTCTTTGTTTAGGAAGATGTTGGATGCTAAATCTTACTTAAGCTTCTTATTCACATAGCAAATCCTAAACTTGTTTCATATATATCTGTTCCTTTTCTAAATTTAAATAAAACAGAATGGCCATTTATTTCTCCCATTATATAACATAATCTTCTGGAAACAGTAGCTAGAATAATAGAATGCCTCAAAAATCCCTCTAATTCTATAGGATGAGGATCAACTTATAAAGTGGTGATTCCCAGTAATTTTGTGAGATGAATGTTAAAGTCATCACTAGGGTTGAAATTAGACTTTGTTTAAAAAGCTACTTAATAATCATCGATTGATAAATAAACTTCACACTTTTAGTCTGTTCATTATTTTAGTGTCAACACATTCTTTCTGAAGGGAGAGAATGAGTTTGGGGATTGGAGGTCTTCAAATGAGAAAGACTGACATATAGGCCAACTCTAATATTTATATTTACAGTGGAGATTTTAAAAGAAATTTGACACAATGCATCTCATAAATGGATGCTGTACGTCAATTTTAGGCATCAGTTTTGAATACAAGGAGACTGTTCATTTCTTCTTTTTTCCCCTAATATATAAACACTCCTAATGTTCAAATGTTTGTAAGACGTTATCTTAATATTTTTGTAAAAAAAAAAAGTGGTACAGAAATAAGCTCTTGGAAAAGTGCTGGTTTTTTGTTTTTTTGTTTTTTTTTTTTGGATTGTTGGATAATTCTGCAAAGAATTTCTTCCAAATAAAGGGATTTAGTTTTGTATTAAATTTTACAATAAAAGCTCTCAAATGATAGATTCAAAATTCTAAACACTTTTAAGGATTATAAAAAGATATGCCCGAAATCTTGCATGTTTTAAAGCATAGTACAAAGTAAGCTTTTTATATGTAGACATTTTTAATTAAAAAAAAAGTTTTATTCGTGTTTTTGGAATAAACGAGCTAACATAAATTGTACATATTTACAGCAATAAACTACATTTCAGAAGCTGCACAACGACTTTTTAAAGTATAGCTGATGGGTTTTGACACCAGCCTTCAAATGTGTTTTCTTCCTTTCATTTGCTGCAACATTTAAGATCTTATAGTACCAAAGCAAAGCAAACAGCAACTTATTTTATAGCAAAGCCACACTTTTAACAAAAATATCGAGTGAACTACAGTCCTGTTAGGTATCTGTGAGTCCTGAAATCGAGAGCACAAGCGTTTCTTGTGTCCATACCTGATTGCATGTAAATTGATTTTGCATTTTACAAGAATACACACGAGTACTCGAGGAATGATTAAGAATAGAAAAAGGCCATGAAGGGTAGAAGGGTCAGGAATCAGAGGCCACTGAACGGTTTCTTTTTCACTGATTCACTGCTTAGAGGAAAATCGATTTCTTCTTTCGTGTGTATAAATCACAGTCTACAGGCTTCATGGATTTTTGTCCACAGACAGTTTTCGAAATAACAAACGCCTAACACCACATACCTTAAGCACATACAAAGGAATTAATGAAACGGTTAGAATATCCAAATCCCTAACAGAAAGGGTACGATCAAGCACACACACTGTATGAAATTTTGCTTTCCAATGTAAAAAGCAACTACGGAAAAATCACAAGTTTCGTTAGACAGAACAGCAATTTCAATCAGAAAATGCAGCATATATCGATACAAAATAGAAAACTTGAATTATAAAAGTAAGGAGTCCACCTTTTCCTTTCTTGGCATTTGTTAAACCTGTCCTGTTAACATTAAAATTTCTACAGGTTTTACAGAAATACTCATTCTTGCCATTGCTATAGCTTCTTTAGTGGTCTGGTAGGTATACAAAAGTATCACCTGCTTATATGTAAGAAAGCAAATGCTTATGTCAAAAGAGCATTAAAATATTATAATTTATGTTTCTTTGCAATGAAAGGATTTCTGCCTGCTGAAAATAAATAGGGAGAAAGAGATTCTTTTATGTACAAGGACTGTGTAATATCAACCAGGATAGGAGTTAGCTAAAATCATGTTTGGTAGGAGGGTAGATAGCAAATTGATAACGTGGTTTCCAAACACAAAGAATAAAACATTTAACACCTAACGTATTTGGTGAGTTTAGCATAACGGATTTTGAGAGGCAACAGAAGGTATGCATTTCTTTCTGTAGATAGCACCTGCTTTGGAAAAAAGCCCCAGCTATTTGGCACAGAATGCTATGAATTAAAACAGCGGGATAGATTGGTTTGGGAGGTTTTTAGCTAACAACTTTTGGATTCAGTCAAGTTTTAGGTGAGGGGGTAGCCAAAGAGGTGTTCCATTGCTGGCAGGAAAGTCATTTTCTTTTCTTTAGCCTTAAGAGTCCCCTGTTCTCAAAGCTGACCAATCACTCACTTTGTACAAAGTCCTTAGCCTCAGGGCACTGACGTCCCTTTGGATGAAGCCAAGAGGAGGTGAAATAATCATTTGGAGATGATGATCAGCCAGGAGAAATTTTCAAGCAAGCCACCCTCAACCCGGTTGCTTTTCTCTCAAGAAGAGTTTTAGTTGTGTTGAAACAATACTCAACTTTCCACTTTTCATTCCCATGAACCTTTCAAATGACAGGCCCAACTTTATTTCACATTAGCTATTAGGCTCTCATCAAGATGGCACAGAATGCTGCCTGGTGGTTAAAAACAAAAAAGTTTATTTAAAAATGTAAAAAAAAATATATATATTTTTTTTGTCCTTGTAAATATTGAAATCATTTAGAATTTCCAAAACCTTAAGCAGTCTTGGCTGTGTAATGATGCCACCACATGGTAGTTTTTATGGAGAGAGTTACTGTCCCTCTTTAAAATAAGGAGTTGAGCAACACAGTCAATAGATGTAGTTGTAGATAACCATGGGCATTCCCCTCTTGGGAGAGTGTCGGACGTTCTGACACAGGAAAGAGCACTTTGATATATCATTCTGTTTTCCACGACACTGCAGTGAGTTAGAATAACCAAGGGGCTTCCCTAAAAATGTCTCAGAGGCATTGTTGCAAAATTTCAAGCTTTATCCAGTGAGTATTTAAAAAAAAGATGTAGGAAACAGATTCCACAATGAGTTAATTAGCTTAAAAAAAGGAAAAAAAAACAGGGCCAGCACAGTGGCTCATGCTTGTAATCTTAGCACTTTGGGCAGAGGCATTACTTGAGGTTGCAGTGAGCTACGATGAGGCCACTGCACTCCTGGCTGGGCGACAGAGCATGATGCTGTCTCAAAAAAAAAAAAAAAAAAAAAAAGAAGCAGAAAATACAACTGCCACTCAGTGAATCAGTGTGTATTTGGGAATATCAAGTAGAAAAATACCTTATCCAGTAAAACTGGGATGGCTCCTTGCCATCCTAAGGGAAGGCTTACAAATGATATCTTTCTTTTATGCAAACAAGCCAATACTACACCTAACAACAGAACAGGAGAGTTGACAACTGAACGGAGGAGACTGGGGGCAGAAAATGCATTTCCTTGCACATTTATTCTATGCAGCCTTGAGAAGCAGTGGTGGATGTCAAAAACCGTCCATCCCTCTTGGATTGTTCTAGACTTTATAGCTTGGTGGACATAAAATTTGGCGGGCAATACCCTCTGGGAGTAGCGTCTTGGAATTCACATCGGAGTGTTCCGTCAATAATAATGCAGTGTAGTCCTAGCTATAAGGATAAGAACATCTGTTTGCAGAGGAAATTATGTTGGGGACCATGTTCAGAGACTGGAATTTTTTCATGCTACAAATGCCAATCACAATTGAATAAATCAACTTTCAGTTTTTTTCATGGCTGTGCCTAAAATATTTGGTGGATTTAGCCAGTTAAGTGGGGTTTGGGTGGAGAGAGTGGGAGTGAGTGGAACAAGGAGAGTGAATAACAGAGCTTCTAAAGACCTGGAATCTTCTCCAACTGCATGGGAAGCTGCTTCTTGCCCAAGAGCTCAAAAATATCCGCCACTCTACTTTCAGAACACAAGACAGTGCCCAGGACGGGGCAGGGCACTGTAAAAACATCTGGGCTTAGATGCTACCTAGAAGTTGGCTTTTCCACCACGAGGGGTGTTTCATGGCTTTTCCTTGATTGCCTAGGTTTAAAGATGTCTTTAAACCTAAAGACATCTATGTCCTGCAGAGATCTAAAAATAAAGACCAGAGACCACA